CAGAGTTTTATAAAGGTTCAGTATAAGTTTCCGAAATTACTTATGTTAGTTTCCTAATTTGGTAAAGGGGATTAATGTTTTCATGCTAGGCAACTCTATGATTCTATGACACAATAAATAACTGACAGGCGAGAGATAACTCAACTACTCAAATAAGTGTTCCTGAATTCAGGTAACAAATTTTAAATTTAGATCGGAAAATCTGGTGCATGAGACAATCATATTTCAACTGTTGAGCAAGAAATCGTTCTGATTATCAATTCATAACATTCTTAGTTGAAACTTTAAAAGCGCTGACAGTTTGTAAATGGATTCAGTATCATGTTATTGGTAGGTTTCATACTAATGACGGGAACATGGTCTTCCTGGGCGTTTACAGAGACAAAGCTGGAGGATGGCATAGATTGGGAAATGAATGTTGAAGGGTATGTAATAGTTTGGAAAGACAGGAAACTGGGAGATCATGCAGGCTTGGTTCTGTTCATCATGATGGCCATGACGCAATAATGCAGGGTGATATAATTCCTGGAGAAGTTGTTTAGGAAGATAGTGAAAATGTTAAAAGCTGTAATTCACATGTGAAGCTGGCTACTGGCCTCCTCAGTGTTACTACATATTAGAATGGAAGAAATAAGAGATTGTCAGAAAGGTATGGTGATAATCATCGGGGATTTAAAACTGCATCTGCAATCAGGCAGGTAAATAAAGCGTAGCTGAGAGAGGTAGCAAGGTGTAGAGCTGGATGAATGCAGTAGGCCAAGCAGCATCAGAGGAGCAGGAAAGCTGATGTTTCGGGTCTGGACCCTTCTTTAGAAATGAGCTGAGAGAGGTCATAGTTTTCTAGATCCAACTAGAGATCAGGTTATACAAGACAAGATATCATGGAAGATACAGAGGGATTCCTCACAGGAAGACACACTATGTAGTTTACATTCATTTTGAGAGAGAGAAGAGTGGATCTGAGAATAGTATTTTAAACTGAAATACAATAAGTGATGAGATCATGACGTCAAAACGATCAAAAGAGCGTTGGGAAACTAGATTAAGAGGTAAATGTACAGAGATCCAATAGTAGGCATTTAAGGAGATTGAAGATCACACAGAGTGAATACATTTCAAAAAGAAAAATTCCACTATTCCAACACACCATTTGTGATTATCTATGAAACTTAAAGTTAGTATTAAACTTAAATGATTTGCGTATAATTATGCAAAGATGGGTGGCAGGTCAGCAGATTGAACAGAATATAATTTTAAAAAAAGCAGAATTACTAAAAAAAAGGCAAAAAGGAGTATGTGAGAACGTGAGCTAAATATAACAGAACAGAAGGACTCAAAGCAGGAGTAGGTAATTGAGTCCCTTGAGCCTGCTGCACCATTTAATACGAACCATGGCTGATCATAGCTTAGTCTTAACTGCACTATTCTGTCCACTATCCATAACTCTTCAAATAGGCATTTGTGGTATGGTGATACTGTCCCGACCACTGGATCTGGAGACTTGGGTTCAAGTCCCACCTGCACCAGAGGCAAGTGATACTGGCTCTGAACGGGTTGATTGAAATAACTAAATGAATTATTCCACAGATTAATAACCCTTTGAGGTAAGCAACGTTTTATCTCTGTTTTAAATCTGCTACTTTTTATCCTAAAATGATGACCTCTCATTCTTGATTGACAAGGGGAAACAGATGCTCTATGTCTGTTTTGTCAATCGCTAGTCACATCTTATACACCTCAATTAGATTTCGTCCTTTCTTTCTAAACTCCAGAGAGTATAGGCCTAAACTGCTCAAACCCTCTTCATAAAACAACTTCCTCAACAGTGGTCAATGTAGTGAACCTCCTCTTAACTGTCTCCAAAGTACAAACATCCCTCCTCATGTAAGGGGACTAAAACTGCATGATGAATGAAACATTAAGAGTTTTCAATAAACATAGTTTTGAAGTAATAAAAACGATTATCAGTCTGTTGAATTAATAACGGCAAAATAAGGAGATGACAGATAATTAGACTATCTTTATATGTCAATCAGCAATGTAGTGGATGAAAGTGAAATCTCAAAAAACGTTTCTAGTGATTGAAACAGAAGAGATGGAGGAATACAGAAAATGACAAATTTCAGAGAAATGATAGTGAGCAATCTGCAGGTTGACAAGTCCTTGAGTCCTACTGGCCTTCATCCCAGGACCGTTGAAAACGGACTAGTGAGATATTTGATGGATTGTTTTAAATGATCAAATTTCCCTTGATATCGGAAGATTCCACTAGATATGAAGTTAATGAATATTATAAAATTGCGAATGTAACTTCTTAATAATACAGGAGAACACAGACCACTTAGTTTAACATCTGTCAGATGTTAAAAGCTGTAATTAAATATGTTACAGCCATGCAGTTAGAAAAGATCCGGGAATAGGGCATTGTTTTGTGAAAATGAATTCATGTTTAACCAAATCATTTCTTTGAGGCAGCAGTGAGTATTGTGGATGGAGGGAAATTAGTGAATGCATTGTACCTTAAATATCCAGAAGGCAGTTTATGGGTTGTAAAATAAGAAGTTATTGTGGAAATTAGAAACTCATGGAATAGTGGGCAACATATTGACATGGATAGAAGATGGTGTTCCTAACTGGTAGCATGGAATAGACATAAAAAGACCACTTTCTTCAGTGCAAGAAATGAACAGTGGGGTGTCACAGGGATCAGTGCTGGGGACCTGCCTTCATAGTATTTAAGTTGATGATTTACTGAACAGACGAATCGTCTCATTTCTAGATCTGTTGGCAAAAAAAGAGCAGGTAAGAAACTAAATAGTGTGAATGACATAAGTAGGTTGCAATTGGATGCAGATAAATTGAGTGGGCACAGATTTAGTAATGGACAGAGAAAGTGGGAACTGCCGATGCTGTTGAATCTGAGATAACAAGGTATAGAGCTGGATGAACACAGCAGGCCAAGCAGCATCAGAGGAGCAGGAAAGCTGACGTTTCAGGTCTGGAACCTTCTCCAAAAATGGGGGAGGGGAAGGGGATCCTGAAATAAATAGGGAGAGAGAGGGAGGCGGATAGAAGATGGATAAAGGAGAGGATAGGTGGAGAGGAGACAGACAGGTCAAAGAGGCTGGTATGAAGCCAGTAAAGATGAGTGTAGGTGGGGAGTTAGGGTGGGGATAGGTCAGTCCAGGAAGGACGGACAGGTCAAGGAGGCGGGATGAGGATGCTCGGTAGGAGGTGGGGGTGGGGCTTGAGGTGGGAGGAGTGGATAAGTGGGAGGAAGGACGGACAGGTTAGGGAGGCGGGAACGAGCTGGGCTGATTTTGGGATACAGTCGGGGGAGGGGAGATTTTGAAGCTTGTGAAGTCCACATTGATACCGTTGAGCTGCAGGGTTCCCAAGCGAAATAGAGGGACCACTTTGTGGAACACCTATGCTCAGTTCGCAACAAACAACCGCACCTCCGTGTCGCGAACCATTTCAACTCCCGCTGCCACTCCTTGGACGACATGTCCATCCTGGGCCTCCTGCAGTGCCACAACGATGCAACCTGAAGATTGCAGGAACAGCACTTCATATTTTACTTGGGAACACTGCAGCCCAATGATATCAATATGGACTTCACAAGCTTCAAAATCTCCCTGGCCCCCCACTGCATTCCATAAACAGCCCAGCTCGTCCCCGCTTCCCTAACCTCCCATCCTTCCTCCCACCTATCCACTCCTCCCACTTGAAGCCCCACCCCCCACCTCCTTCCTACTAGCCTCATCCCGCCTCCTTGAAATGTCCGTCCTTCCTGGACTGACCTATCCCCGCCCTAACTCCCCATCTACACTCACCTTTACTGGCTCCATAAAAGCCTCTTTGACCTGTCTGTCTCCTCTCCACCTATCCTCTCCTTTATCCATCTTCTATCCGCCTCCCTCTCTCTCCCTATTTATTTCAGAATCCCCTTCCCCACCCCCATTTCTGAAGAAGGGTCCAGACCAGAAACGTCAGCTTTCCTGCTTCTCTGATACTGCTTGACCTGCTGTGTTCATCCAGCTCGACACCTTGTTATCTCTTATTTAGTAATGGACAATAATGATGAACAATAATGATAGACAATAGTTTGGGAGGAACAGTAAAGTAACATGTTATCTAAATAGTTAATGAATACACAGTTCTGAGATGCAGAATGATCTAGAAGTTATAGTTTATGAATCACAAAAGGTTGCTACATGGATACGGCAGATAATCAGGAAAACTTATGTAATGCTATTGCATATTGAGACAGCAATTGACCACAAATTTTTTGAGGTTATGCTTCAATTATGCCGGACACTGCGGAGACCATACCAAATGCAATCATTGAGTCGCAGAATTCTACAGCACAGAAAATAGCTCTTCTGTCCATCAAGTCTGTGCTGGTCAAAAGCAATCAACATTTTGATTTCAGTATTGGTCTCCTTATTTAAAGAAGGCTGTAAATGCATTGGAAGGAGTTTGCAAAATGTGTACAAGACTAACGTCTGGAAAGGCTGAGTCTGGGTTTGTATCCACTGGAGTTTAAACGAGGAATAACAGACTGGAAAGAAGCATAAAAGATCCTAAGGGGTGTTTATAAAGCGGATGATGGTAGAAAATGTTTCTTCTTGTGGAAGAATCTAAAACAAGACATCACTAATGAAAAACAAACGGAATAGCCCGCTTAAAATGGAGATATTAGGCACTTCTGATTGCACAGAGGGTGACGAGTTTTGTGACACTCTTAAAAAACGGCAGAGGTGGATAGATCTGTAAAGCAAAGGGGTCAAATGTTCTCACAGGTAGATGGAAACATGGAGCATTCAGATGGGGTTGACCTTTATGAAATGATAGGATATGTTCAATGGTTGGATTGGCCTATTCCTGCTCCGCTTGTGCACATGTTCCTGTGTAGATGCATTTTTATAATTCTTGGATGACAATCATTCACCTCATGTCACCTACATTTGCATTTTCTTTGTTTATTCATCATGCAGAGCACCCGGTTAGAGTGCCCAATGTCATGATCCTCAAACCATCACCAGCAGAGCTGAGAGAGAGACGAAAAGCGACCGTGGTGTGCCTTGTCACTGACTTCTACCCCGACAACATCCAGATCCACTGGTATGTCGATGGTGAGAAGCAGCCAGAGAACGACCCGAAAATTCAGTCAGACCCCGAATCCATCATACAGGAAGACAGTAAATCCTACAGCGTCAGCAGTCGGATAAGATTTAAGGAAAAACAATGGGTCAAGTTGAAGAAAGTTGAGTGCAGAGTTAATCATTATACAAATGGATCAGAATCTACTTTGTACGCGTCAGAGCTTCACGTCAATGCTGGTATGTTCGTGAGTAAGAAGCGTATTTTAAACTCCAAAGAAAGCTTTATAAAGCTCCCATGCTCTTTCAAATGAAATGCCAAGCAGATCATAAGGTCCAGCATTCATTAAATCACTGAATCCTTCATGGAACAAATCGGACACAATGTAAATGTTATAGGATATCCGTTATGTATGTATATAAAATAAAGACAATAACAGTCACAGCATATCAGTATCACTGTATCCTCCAGCTCTCTATCTGCTTTTACATGATGATTGAAAAACATATTCCTGCAGTAATTCAACTAGGCACAGTAAACTTTAATGAAGGCAAGTTGTTGATGGCACGAGGGATAGAGCAATATAATGAGAGAGATAAGAAAAGGAAAGTAGAATCAGTGTTGGCAGTAGCATTTTTTTGGTGCTGCAGACGTGATGGGCCGAATTACCTCTTCTTTATTGTATCTTCTATGATTTTACATTCTGATATTAACTGCTTGCGTATCTCATTTCTTTCAGAAATCTGCAGCATGAGTAAAGGTGAGCCTCAAAATTGCTTCTACCTGTTTGTTGTAAGGACTCTTTATTGTTGTCTTATAAGACAACTTATATGTTGTCTTCGAACTGCCAGTGCGATTTCGAAGATGTGTGGGTATGTGCGATGTCAACTGGAGGGTTGAGTTGGAGACTCTTGGTTTGTTCTGCTTAGAGACCAGGAGCTTGAAAGGACGTCTGATTTAGGTGTTGATTTAGTCAGATTTGGAAAACTAAAGTAGAGAAACCATTACCTGGTAGCATGAGCGCTAGTGGACTCAAAATTAAGGTTTACTGCAAGAAATGTAGGGACGATATCAGGAATAAGCTGTTTACATTCACAAATGGTCATGACTTGGAGCTCGAAATGAAGCGGAAACTAAAGTTGTCAATGCTTTTGACAAGACAGCTGAGGTGCATATGGTATAAATAAATAACATGCACAGAAAAAAAAGACCATTCAGCCCATTCTGTCTGCACCAATTCAACGAAGGACTATCATCATCTAATGCCAATCCCTTGCCTTTTCTCATCCTCTTGAATGCCATTTATATCAAAATATTCGTCTAATACCGTTTTTAATGCCTCAACCGAGACTGCCTCCACCACATTATCATAGCTGGAGGGAAGTATCATGTTGTGGAAGCAGGGACGCTGCAAAGGACCACAACAGGCTAGGAGATTGGGCAAAGAAGTGGCAGATGGAATGGAAAGTGGTGTGAGGTTATGCACTAAGGTAAGAAGAAGGGAGGCATAGACGATTTTCTAAACGGGGAAATGCTTAGGAAATCTGAAGAACAATGAGAATTTGGATTTCTAGTTCAGGACTCTCTTAAGGTTAAGATGCAGATTCAATTAGCAGTTAGGAAGGCAAATGAGATGCTTGCATTCATTTCATGTTGTCTAGGCGACAAAATGGAATATTGTGAGCAGTTCTGAGGCTGAATCTGGAAGGATGTGCTAGTCTTGGAGAAGGTCCAAAGGAAGTTTACCAGAATGATCCCGGGGATGAACTGCTTGTCATATGAGGAGTTGCTGAGGACTCTGGGTTTGAATTCGATAAAATTTGAAAGATGAGGTGAATCTGTTTGAACCTTACAGAATCCTGAAAGGCCTGAATAGAATGGACTTGGAAAAGATGTTTTCTCTAATAGGAGGGACTAGGGCCCGACCGCACAGCCTCACAGTGTAGGCACGACCCTTTTGAACTGAGATGAGGAGGAATTTCTTCAGACAGAGACTGGTAAATCCGTAGAACTCTTTCCCACAGAGAGTTGTAGGGCAACGTCATTGAGTGTGTTTAAGGCAGGCATTGATATATTCTTGATTGGTAAGTGAATCAAGGGCCACGGAGAGAAGGCAGGAAATGACGTTGAAAAACCTGTCAGCCGTGCTTGAATGACGGAGTAGATGCTATGGGCTTAATGGCCAAATTATGCTCCTATATCTTGTGCTGTTGTGTCTTAACTACTGGCTTTGCAAAATATCATTTTTTTCCCCCCTCTTATCTCGCATTTCTTTTGCAATCACTTTAAATCTGTGCCCTCTTGACCTTGATCCTTTTTCCGAGTGGAAACAGTTTCTTTCTATCTACACTGTCCAAACTTGTCCTGATTTTGAAAACCTTTAGATGGTCCTTTCGCAGCCTTCTTCTCTCCAAGGGGTACAGTTTCAACTTCTTCAATCCACCTTCTGAATTACAGCAACAATATACGGAGGTAAAGAAACAAAATGTGAACTGACTTGACTGGTCTACAGAGAGCCCCTGGAAGTCAAAGTCTGAGAGATCTCCTTCAAGCAGAACATTAACTGACCAGATCATTGTTGCTGATGTTTTCTGAGGATTATACATTTGTGTCCACAGCTCTGAGAAGAACCAATATTGTTGCAGCTTTTGTATGTATGGACAACAAACAGCTGTCCCCTTGGTTTTGCATTCTATCTGAAATATATCACATCCCATTATGTGCAGACCCTGTTTCCAGGACATCAATTTGGGTTATGGAGCTGAAATTCCTAAAGAGCGTTTTCACCATGATTTCATGACATAGTATATCCTACTCACTTAGTCAGAACTCACACCGTCTTTCTGATCAAATTTCCAATTCAGCCTTTGCCTTGTATTGTGGGGTCAAAACTTATTATTTCTCAAAGTATCTCAGAGTAGTATCTAGATATTTATAGTGGCTATAATGTCTTAATACAGCAGAAATGCTGTCATGAAGTAATTCTGTAGTCATTGAATCAAAGACAAAGTCTTTTCTTAGTCACAATTTAAAATTCGTTTTTGCGGTATGTGGGGATTATTGGTTGGGCCAGCATTTGTTGCCCGTCTTTAGTCGCCATTGAGAAGGCAGTGGTGAGTTGCCTTCTTCAACGTCTGCTGTCCATGTGCTGAAGATTGATCCACAATCCCCTTGGGGAGGGAGTTCCAGGATTTCGACTGAGTCACAATGAAGGAAAGGCGCTATATTTCCTAATCAGAATCGTGAGTGGCTTAGAAGGGAAGTTAAAGGTTGTGGCATTCAAATGCTTCTCATGTCCCTGTCCTTCTAGATAGAAGATCTGGGGATCTTTGATAAATTGCTTCAATGTATCTTGTAGATAGTATATACTGCAGTTACTGAGCGCCGGTGGTGGGGGGAGTGGATGAATGTGTATATGGTACCTATCAAGTTGGTTGTTTTGTCCTGGATCGTGTCAAGCTTCTTATTCCAATGTAACCTTGGGTTCATGATGGGAAACTGTGTTCCTTCTCGCAAACGTAGTTTTTTTTTTCTTTTTGTCTGTAAAGAGGAATACAAAATTTTTCACTCCATTCACTTCACAGAAGCTAAAGCCCGGAGCATGACAACAGCCAGAATGACGTACCTTATGGTGCTTTGCAAAAGCATCCTGTATGCCCTCTTCGTGTCAATGATTGTTTGGAAGTCCAAGGTAAGATTGCACTGATGTAAATACTCAAGATTATAAATGAGATTATGTCCTGAATAAACACCCAACAAAAGGTATTTTATTAAGCTACTGATTGCCTATGCATGGATGCATTCCCATACTGTAGATTTTCTAGAGGAAACTCTATTGCACATTCATCGAAGAGCTTCCAGTGTAACTTATATTATTGGAAAGTTCTTGTTAATTCATAGGACCACAAAGGCCTACCATTAAAAACGATGCAAACCATTTCTTCCCTTTATGACTCCTTCTTGTGTTATCGCACTTCAATCCTTCATGTTACTATCTACATAGAAAGCAAGAACATTTCAAAGCGGATTGGAATTCTGGTTAATCCCTGAAATAACGACATGCCTGAGTATATGGTGGAGGGTGGTTCGATCAAAGGATTCAAATAAAGCAAAGCTTTCATTCAGGAAGCAACAATGCATAGAGTTACCGGCAGCAGACAGGAGAGTTGAATGAAAGGTAATGGTCTTTCTGAGAGTTGGAATAAAACTGAGATAGTGAGTCACTGACTTGGCAGCTTCCATCCAAATACCAACACTAAATTTAGTCGGGTGCAATGAATTAAATCATAGATTTAATGGGAACTTTAGTAAGGCCATATTTGGAATATTGTGTCCAATTCTCCTCTCCACACAACCAGAGGACGTGGAGGCTGCGGAGAAAGTCAAAAAAAAAGGTTTACAAGGATATTGCCTGGTTTGGAGGGCATTAGCTATGACAACAGATTGGGCAAACATGGATTATTTTCACTTGGACATTGAAGGATGAGGGATAACCTGATATAAGTTTACAAAATTATGATGGTCAGGGACAAAATGAATAATCAAAGTCTTTCACCCAGGGAAAAGACACATGACAATTACAGGGTGATATAGGTAAAAGTGAAAGGAGGAAAGTTTAAGGGAGATATGAGCGACAGGTTTTTCTACATGCAGGGTGGTAAGTGCCTGGAATGCACTGCCAGAGAAGGTTGGGGAGGCGGAAAGAATAGCTACATTTAAGCGGCATCTTGACAGGTATATAAATAGGCAAGGAGCAAATGGAAACCAACCGCGTAGAGAAAAAGGATTTTTTTTAAATTTAGAAAGGCATCATCTGTCAGTGCAGTCTTGGTGAGCCAATAGGGCCTGGTTCTGTGCTGTACTGTTCTTTGTAAATGAAGTTAAATTGAAAACCCGTCTCTGTAACGGTGCCATGAAAAAAAAAATCACTTTTCTAAAGGAGCCATGGTTGTTTAGACAAGCCAGTCCACACCATTTACGTGGTCTAGCCTACCTGTGCCTCCAGGCGCAAGGTGAGGTAGTTGAATTCGCTGAAGTGGCCTTGCAAGCCAGTCTGTTGTACCAATATTATCATCTCTAGGACAATTAAGAGCGTCCTCACCAGGGACACCCACATTGAGAAATACAAAAAAAACCTTACATTTCAACTTTCTGCAATCCATGTGAAAAAGAAACTGACCAGATTCTTCAGACAGTCAATCATTACTCCTACTTTTAAAAAAATGCCTTGCTTTCCTACATTTGCTGGCGAAAGCAGGAAGCTTCATATTTGCCCGTGTCATGTTCTGTTTTATCAAATATTTGAGTCTGTCTATGTTGTGTCACTTTTTTGATACTCTCCTTGATATCTTCCAACTGCTGGTTGGTTTTACATCATCAAGAAGTGTGGCTGTATTATGTTGAGTCTTTTGCTTTAAGTCTTGTTGTGGATTTTAAATAATTGATGTCTAGTACCTGGTGCTTGTGGTGCCCAATAAGTTATGTGTCCCAGCTGGGAAGGTGATAGCATTGTGGTATTACTGCTAACCTGTAACTTCAGGAAACCCAGACAATATTCTGTGAATCCGAGTTCAAACACCGGCATGACAGATGATGGATCTTGAACTGTTTTTTGTAATAATCTGGAATTGGAAGTCGAATGATGACTATACAATATGTTAATTATTAGAAAAACAAAAACACATCCTGCTCACTAAAGCCTTTGAGGAAAGGAAACTGCGGTCCTTACCTGTTCTGGCCTACATATGACTCCAGACCCACAGCAATGTGATTCATTCTTAACTGCGCTTTGGACAATTACGGATGAGCAACAAATACTGACCTAACTGTTGCATCCACATCTTGTGAATGAATAAAAAAAAAGACCCTTGTTATTATTATATTGTCGGTTTTGTGATAGCAGTGCAGAAATCCGTGTCATTTGAATAAATTTTTGTTGTGACTTTCTTCCTGTTGATGAGCTTATTAATATTTCTTAGATATTAAAGACTTTTCATTTCTGAACAACACTATGTGCCCAGGAATTGGCATTTTTTATGATTCAAGTTTATTAGTGTGTCACTTGGTTACTATTGCCATGACAATAATAAGCCATTAGCGAGTTTGGAGAAGAGACACTATTGACTTGTACCAGGCCTAAGGATTTTCAGCCTTACCCCTTTCACGGCACAGTAGCACTCTCTCCACATTGCCCCCGGAATAGTGTGGTGAAATGCAAAAATGGAGAACATATGTAGGAATATGAATTCACATATTTTCAAAGAAAAGATCAGAAGAGACAATATGAATCATCTAGGCCTTAGAAAGCGTGCGAGAGATAATTTACTTAAATAGCATCATGAATGTTGAATTTCAGTTTTCTGCAGACTCTGGAGCAATTGGGAATGTTCACCTTGGAGAGAAGAAGGGTAAGGAGAGTTTATACAGAGGTGTTAAAATCCTTTTGTAGAGTAAATGAGGTTAAACCTTTCCCTGTGGCTAAAAATACAGACAGTATAGGGAATGGACTAGCGATGGTTGGCTGGAAAGTCTATTTGAACTGGCCTGATATTCACTTCAAAAACCGGGGAAGATCTTTCATTGATTGGGAAGAATTATGGATACGGAGAAAGAAAGGTGATCTGGGAAAAAAAAAAGATAGATCTTTCAAAGTGCTGGTGCAAGCAAAATGTGCTGAATAGCATCCTTCCTTATTGTGTCATTCCCTGATTCTACACTACTCAATTGCAATTCTTTTCATTTTGTGCCAGATCTCTCACAGCAAAAGGTTTGACTGATCGCATTGAAGATGGTGGAACACATGAAACAGTATGGAGGAAAGAAATATGCACTTTTTGAATACTTAGAGTGATTTGATCTCAACTACTTCTGCTGTTCAAGCATCGTACTGATAAGTGATCTTCAACATCGTGGCCATGCGAAATAATGGAATAGAGTTAGAGTGTTACCTAATTTTTCAGGAGTCTATATCTTGATATGACGTTATGTTCTTACGAGATAAGCAAGCTTCAGCTTTTAGGGTTGCGAAACAATTAGGCAATTAATTCTCTGGTTGCCAATTTGAGGGTGGGATTATTTGAACCTTTACACATAATCATAAACTATTACAAGGCAACAAGGCCCATTTGATCCCTCTTGCAAAAACATTCTCTGAGTGTCAGCCATTGAGTTCAAAAATTTCAAAGGCAAAAACAGCTTTTATGCTTAATTTTATTTTTACCTTCTCTGCCCTCCTCGTTGATTCTGTTATTATAACGGCGCATATATTATAAAGAAGTTGAAAGATGAAAGTGATTCAAATGCTTTTTGAAGCTACCTGTTTTTGTTCTCTCTAATTTCTGCTCATGCAGCAATGTATTATGAGTTCTAAAATTATTATCTTTGATTATGGAAAGAAATCTGGGATCATAATTCGTTGTGGCATCCTCAATGGAGCTGGCATTGACAACATGCTTGTGAATTTTTGCAGTCTTCATCCTTTTTTGTTAAGAAGAAATAAATAGATTAACATCCAAATAAAACTTTTCTCACTTTTATTTCATTCAAAATACAACTTGAGCCAAATATTACTTTGTTTAAACAATGCTGACATATTCAGATATATGTATAGTTGTTTGGATGACAGAATTAAAGCTTATTCAAAAAAGTCAGATCGTTAAATTAATGTTCATAACATACATTTTCTACTGGAACACCAACACCCAAGTTAGAGATTCAATGTCCTCATGTTCTGATGTAGCAGACACCAGAGGGAAGAATGCTTTCTGTTTCTCATATAATAAGGAGCTTGAGGAGCTAAATGCAATATCTCCAGCATGAGTGAACCCATGAAAGTTTATGCGTTAGATATTTACTGATGAAGCTTTTCTGAGATGCTACTACACATCTGTAATGCAAGTGGTACTTGAACTCGGGTCTCCTAGTTCAGAAATAGGGACACTACGACTGCAGATTGAGGTCTTGTGCCTCCAGTTGATCGAACCGCTGAAGATAAACAAGATGTTCCAAATTCCAGTACCACTCAGATATTTATGGACACAAAAAGTGAATTGATATTGGATGAAGGAGGTTCTTTCTACGAAGGGAGATTAATGCAGGTTTACCAGGCTGCTTGCTGCAGGGCCGATGTCTGAAGTAGTACCAGATTGGTTAGCACGACATCCACTAGAGTTTAGAAGAATGAGGGGGTGTTCTCATGGAAACTGAGGAAAATTCTGACGGGCCTAGATTGGGTAAATGGAGGATGAATGTTCCCAATAGCTGGAGAGTACAGAGGAGGGGTCACAGCCTACGGGTAGGGAATCGGCCAATTAGGAATGAGATGAGGAGAATTTATTTTTCATTCAGAGAATAGTGAGCCCGTGCAATTCTGCATTACATAAAACAGTTGAGGCCAAAACATTGACTTTTTTCAGAAAGGAGTTAGACATAGGCCTTGGAGCTACAAGGGTGTGGAGAGGAATCAGGAGCATGGGACTGAGCTGAATGATCAGCTATGATCATACTGAATGGCAGAACAAGTTTTAAGGCTACTCCCGCTCCTGTTGTCTGTTGCTGAAATGCGGTTGAGTATGTGAGTTGTGAAACTGCACATTTTCTTGCAGAGCAGATTATCTGTGGTTGATGCAGAGTGGCATTAATCAGGATAACCCTGGAGACAGTTTGACATTTGACATGAGGGATACGTATAGACTATCTTGTCTGTCGAGACTCCTCCACTGTTTAATATACTCACAACTGAACTGAGCCTATCACTCAACTTTAAACACAACACCTGATTGCCTGAGACAAAAACAAAATCTGTTCAGGTCAGCTACATTCAAGCATGGAACATAGACATTGCTGGAGAAACTCAGCATGTCTGACAGCATCTGTGCAGAGGGAGCAGAGTTAACCTTGCGGGCTCAGTGATGCTTCATCAGCACTAATTCTACATTCAGATACATAATTGCAAATTTAATTTCCTCCTGGACGAATTCAAACTTGACAGGAACAAAAACAGAAGTTGCTAGAAAAGCTCAGAAGGTCTGTCAGCAGCTGAGAAGAGAAATCAGAGTTAACTTTTTGGGTCTGGTGACCCTTCCTCAGAACTGGATGGGACTAGTTTAGTTTGGGAACCTTGATTGGCACAGACGACTTGGACCAAGAGTTCTGTTTCCGTGCCTTATGACTCTATCACTCTATAACTTTATACTTCAAGCCATTTTACTCCCTCTATTGTAGATGTGAAAAGGCTATTTCTAAGCAAATGATGGCAGTATTGATGACCTCTTCCATCATTGTACTGGTGATTGAGAGTAGATTGATGGGAGTGTAATTGAATGGGTTAGATTTTCCTACTTTTTCTTGACAGGGTATACCTTGGAAATGTTCTATATTGTCGGGTAAATGCCAGTGTTGTAGCTGGACTTGATAAACTTAGGTCAGATATGACAACTTCTGGAGTGCAGGTCTCCAGTACTATTTTCCACATGTTGTCATTATCTTCAGACTTGTTAATACCCACTGTCATCAGCCATTTCTTAATATCATGTGGAGTGAATTGAATTGGTGAAAATGATTTTGGGGCTCTTTCGAAATATAATGAGGTGAATCACCCACTCAGAACATCTGGTTCAAGGTTGCTGTACCCTTCGGTCTTACCTTTTGCATGAAAATGCAATACAGACCGGCGATTGCTGGAAATCTGAAGCAAAATTGGAAACTGCTGGAGAAACTCAGCAGGTCTGGAAGTATCTATGGACAGTCAACATCTTCGGTCCAGTAACATTTCATCAGAGCTGATTTTGCTAAGTTTCTCCAGCAATGTCTATCTTTTTACCATTTGCACTGTTGTACTGGGCTCCCTCAATATTCAGGATGAAACATTTGTGGTGCATCCTCCTGGAGTAATTTTAATTGTCGACCACCTTTCACGACTGAATGTGCCAGGACTACAGATCTTAGGTCTGATCCATTGGCTGTGGAATCACTTAGCTCCATTTTTCACTTGCTTCTTATGCTGTTTGGTGCACAATTACCAATTTCTCTTAAGACTGTCTCCCAATGTTTTAGTTTCGTTAACTGGGAGAAATAGTTTGTAACATTTTACCCTAACAAACTACTTCAGAATATTGTATGTTCCAAATAGACCACCTTTCACTCTTCTGATCGCCAGAGAATCGAGGCCAAAGTTGCTAAGCCATTCATTACAGGAAAGTCCCCTCATCTGAAGTACCAAATTTGTGAAATTACTGTATTGTCTCCAATGAAAGAATATCCTATCCTAATAATCAAAGCTGTGCACTGTATTCTAAGTGTGGTATCATCATGAGCCTGTATTTTTTGGCACATTTCCACAGTCATGCACATAAATCCCCTTGAAATACTTGCTGCATTTATGCAATGACTCTCTGCAATCCTTGCCTGAGCAAATCCAAGATATAACACAGTGTGGAGCTGGAGGAAGACAGCAGGCCAGGCAGCATCAGAGGAACAGGAAAGCTAATGTTTCGGGTCAGCTTTCTGGCTTCTCTGATGCTGCCTGGCCACCTGTGTTCCTCTAGTTCCACACTGTGTTATCTCTGACTCCAGCATAGGCAGTTCTTACTATCTCTTACTAATGCTTTGACCATAAACATTAATAAGCTTCACACCTTTTCAAAAAATATTCTGCTTCTCTATTATTTTGAGTAAAATAAATAACAGTTACAGCGTTTAAAAGACATTATTCAGATACGTGAATAAGAAAAGTTCAGAAGGATATGGGCCAAATGCAGGCAGATGGGTTAGGCTTAGTTTGGGAAATCTGGTCGGCATGGACGAGTTGGACAGAAGGGTCTGTTTCGGTGCTGTGTGATTCTGACTGTATGACTTTACACTTTACCATTTTATTCCCTTGGATGTGTTTGTGCCTATTCACTTAAACCGTCATTCATCTCTGCCTCTTTATGTCTGCCCTGTAACTTACCTATCCAACTAGCCTTGAACCATTGCCAAATTGGATCCAGTATTGCCTCTATATTCACCTATGTAATTAAACAGCTGAGGTCCCAGAACTGATGCCTAAACCAGTACTCTATTCATTGCCTTGCCAATGTGAAAATCTACCATTTATATCACTAAGTCCTGAATTGGATCGGTTGCTCCTAGCAAGCCAACCAATTATGAATCATTTGCATTTCTTGTTAGCATGCTACCCAGCAACCCAGTACTTATCGCTTTCTTGGTTTATGGTCACTTAACGCTCTTGCTCTCTCTCTCTCTCTCTCTCTCTCTCTCTCTCCCTCTCCACCCAGCGCCCTCACTCTCTGGGCTCTGTCTACACATGCTGTATTCACTACCCCTACCTCCCCGCCTGCCCTTTTCTCCGTGCCGCAAACCACATCATCGGCACAATTACCATCCTTTCCTGTTGTCAGTTCTGGTGCAAGGACACGGGACTTTAAACTCTTTTATTTCCCGACACAGATGCCGCTGTGTCTTCTGAGTTTCTCGAACAATTTGTATTTTTGTTTCAGATTTCCAGCATCCACAATTCATTGACTTTACCCTGGAGAGGAATCCTGTACTGGGTGGCTCATATTTTCGTTGCCAAATGCAAGTTGGGACTTTAATAGAATACTTCCCAGGATGAATGCAGCTACAACAATACTCTAGAAGCTTGGCACTACCTAAGACATAGCACCCCATTTGATTACTACATTATCTGTCACTGTCAACATGTGTTCCCTTCTCCACCCATGCATTGTGGTGCAGCTGTGTGCTATTGATAAGTTGCACTGCCATTAACTCACCAAGACAGGTCTGACATCTTCCAAACCAAATCCTCTATGAGCACAACAACATCGAACGTACAGTGTAGAAAGACACCATTTAGCCCACCAAGGTTTCACTGAACCTTCGAAGTAATTTGCACCTCGACGCCCTTACCCTATCCTTGTAACCCTGCATTTCCGATGTCTAATCCATTTAGCTTGCACTATGAAGCAATTTAACGTGGCCAATCCACTTATAATGCCCATCTTTGGACTGTGGGATGAAACAAGAGCACCCAGATGAAACCCATACAGACAAGGGGAGAACACGCCAACTCCAAACAGACAGTCGCATGAAGCCGGAATCCAACCCGGGTCCCTGGTGTTTTGAGGCAGAAGAGATAACCACAGAGCCACCGTGCCACATTGGGTACAGATCAATGCAATCACCATCAAATGCAAGGCCATCCCTCTCCTGATCTGGAAGTATACTGCCATTCCTTTATTCTCACTTAAGCAAAAAATTTCGTCTCCCTTCCCTACAGCTTGTCGGATTTTATTGCCTACCAAAGAATATTTGTCGATTAAGAAGGCAGTTCAGACCAACCTTCTCTGAGGCAGTTAGGGATAAACGATAAATTCTAATCTATCTTGCGCTACCCTCACCTGATGAACAAAGAATATGTATATACCCATTTTGGGTTGAAGATCAGGTTCTCATCACTCTCTGGTCAAAGCAGTTTCCCCATGAATTTGTCAGTTGGCTATTATAATCAATGT